CCCGTCTACAAGTGTGCAGACGGTAGTTTAAGACAACGATAAGGTAAGGTTGTATCGAACCTTTCGAACCTTTCGACTGATACCTTATCCTTTTTAAATCTTCCTTCCACCGAGATTGCGTGAGAGAGGCGGATTTTCTCTTTTGTATTTGTTTTAATTTAATGTAATAAACTGTAACTTAAACTTACCTATTTTTCTCTTTACTTTTCTCCTTTTCTTTATCCTTTTTGAAAATTCTATAATTCAAGTCAACGAGGTAGATTTTTAATTTCTAAAAATCTCAGCAACAGGGAATAAATCGGTCTCACAGAATAAACAAGATCTTCGGATCTTGGCAGTTGGTCCTCCGAGGACTGCTGAAATTCGGGCGATCTCAAGAGCCCATGGTTTATTTAATTAATTGTTCTAAATGATTAATTATAAAAACTAAGAATTTCTTCGGTTCGTAACAATTTAAAATAAATATAACAACATTATTAATAGTTGTTAAATAAATTTTAATTAATGATTGAATATTTAAGATTAGAAAAATTTATATATGTATGTGTGTGTGTGTTACATTTGATGTTTGAGAAGAATGTTTACAATATTTTAATAACAAATATTATTTTTAATAAATAATATTTAACAAAAAAAATTAAAAATTACAGAAATCCGTCAGTAACAGACACAATTAAAAAATTAAATTTTTTCTCTTATTGTTAAAAGTCGCTAAATAATTTTTTTAATGCCTTTGTTTAGTATAACTAATTGTCAATTAACATAAATTAATTGATTAAAGTCTGTAGTAAAATTTATTTCCAATTTCGAATCAAATAGCCGAAGATTGTCCAATTGTCACATTTAAATAACTGAATTTTTTTTTTTCTTAAAAATAGTTTAAAAAAAACATTTTTAATCAGGGCTGCAATGATTTAAATCGTGATTTATTTTGTAATAATATTTTAAAACTAAAATAAATAATTTAAAAAATTAATATATTAATATATTAAACTAAGATGTAAAAAAATAAGAAATAACATGTCACTTCTTTAAACTTCTCATAATGAAAAAATATAAATTTATTTGGTTTTGAAAAATTTGTCCTCATTTTTACTCTTTTTTATAATGACTATTTTATTTTAAGCGCTTTGAACTAAAATTTAATACTTTGTTAATAAAAATACAAGTATTATTTGACGCTTTCATTATTGATTTTATCATTTGTAATACTAAAAAAACGAATCATTTAAAAATAAATATTTAAAAAATAATATTAAAAAAATTTGATGTAAATAAAAACAATTTTATTTAAATAAAAAAATCAGATTTTTCTTATTTTTAAAAAAAATTGGTGATTTTTATCAGCTCTATTTTTAATCGTTTTTTTTATTTTAACTAATTCGAAATTAACATAATTATTTGGTTAAAGTCTAAAAAATTTATTTACAATTTTGAGTTCTTTAAAACGAGTAGTTGAAGACTGTCAAATCGGCACATTTTAAAATTTTAACCTTTTACCTTATTGTTAAAAATTTATTATGAGTTTTTACTGTTTATACTATCTACTGTGTAAAAAAAATTGCGAACCTGATTCGAGTTGAAAAACCCTTTTTTTAACCCCTTAACTTTAAAAAAATATCAAAATGTGATGAAAAATATGTTATTTTTATATAAAAGATTAGACTAAATTCATATTTAACTTAACACTTGCTAACAAATTGCCAACCCATTTCGAGTTAGGAAATCTTTTGTTTTGAATCATTATAATGATAGAACATTCATGCGGCCTTCTAGAATCCTCTGCTTCATGACGTTATACAATTAATATGTATTTTGTTAATATAATCAAAGTCAAATATATATATATATATAATTGAAAAGGTAATGAAAAAAAATTTATAGAATAAAAAATCAAGGCTCTATATTTAAAATCCAGGGCTGGACCATTTGGTCCGCTTGACCTTCACGCTGACCAAGTTTTTGAAGGATATAAATCCTACAATAATGACTTAAAAATGTATATTTACTTTATTAATTTTAATTAATAATTCTATTAATAATTATTTTATATTAAATATTTATATATTTAATATATTTAATTATATATATTTAATAAATATATATTTAATTATATTATAATAATTAATAAATTAATTAATTGATATTAATTTATTCAAATTTTTCTCAAAGCATTCATTAAACCATAAGGTTGAATGAATCGTAGTTTATCCTAAGGTTGTTACGAACTGAAAAAATATTAATTATAAAAATTATTATTTTCTATGTCCTGGAGGCACCAAGCTGCCGAAATTAAAAATTCCGTTTATTTTTATGGGATCGTGTATCCTATTTTAAAAGAAACTGCCAAGTTACGTTATTCGAAAATTGAATTTTAAGGGATAAAACACAATAAAACAATTAAGACCCTTTTATACATTTATTTTATAAAAAGAAATCTTGAATTTAGAATATAAAAATGAAACAGTAAGATAAGAAGAAGGAACGATACATGTTTTAAAACTTACTCTACTGCTTATTATACCGTCGCAAGCTAACGAGGGCGAGGCGTCGAGCTGCTTTCCGACGGGCGGAAAAATACACACACTTAGCAAAGCGCGAGAATGTCTATTGGTAGAGCACGAAAATGCACTCACGGGTCCACCGAATCTAAACAGCGCAGGCACCACACGTGCGGACTGGCCGGTCAAAAAGACAAAAATTCAATAATTTGATTTTATTCAAATTACTGGATTTTTATTAAAGACGACTTCCGTTGGACTTCGTCGGCGTGAAGTATTTACTTTAACTTTTCGTCCGTCCAATTTTAATCACTATCTATGTAGTGGATTGTAAAAATTGAAAATCCGACTCACGGACGGGCTTAGTCCCGGCGTCTCAAAATCGTTTTTATGCCTCTGAAAAATTTCAGAGCTGACTCGCGAATGAGAGTTGTACTGCCATTAATTGACTTCCGCGATGCACTTTTATATGAACGTTTAGAGACTTCAGGTGGGAAAATTTTGTGGACTAAGGGTTTTTAACACGTGAACAAGGCGTGAGCTCTGGGCCTGTTACTATGCCAATAATGCTGAGTTTTTATTTTCTTAATGGTATAGCCAAATATAATAATATGCACTTAATAAAATCAAGCATAATTATTATTGAAAAGACTTGTTGTCTTTTGGATTTATTTTATGAATTTTCCTTGTTGGAAAATGATTTGATTTTTGGTATTTTTACCCCTTTTTTATTTGCGACAATTACAACTTTGATGTTGTGTTGTCATGAGCATGTATGATTGTTAGGCCCAGAATACGTTATAAAAAAAAGAGTGGGGGGGGTAGAGTAAGAAAGCATGGAAGCTGAAGAATTTCGTTCAAGGAAAAGCTCATCGCGTAGATTTATTTGAACTATTATTATTATATCCCTTTTTTTCGCGAGAAGTCCAATTTCTAATGTGGCTCCTGTACTTATCCATACTCATTTTAGACCCGCAAGTGATAATATCGTGCCTCACAAAACAAGGTATCCGCTGTTATCATTTGCAATCAATAATTCCGTTAAATTTTAAATTATGAACATTGCCGCAGCGTCCAATGCATTCAGGGTGCTGCCGCAATGTTCGTTAACGCACTCGCAACATTCGCAACATTACCATTCGCTACTTCCTTCAATTTTAAGTGGGGAACATTGCCGCAACGTTTAATGCGCTTAGAACGCTGCCGCAATGTTCACTAACACATTCGCAACATTCCCATTTACTAACTTCTACAATTTTTGTTTGGGAACATTGTCGCAACGTCCAACGCACTCAGGGCGCTGCCGCAATGTTCGTTAACGCACTCGCAACATTCGCAACATTACTGTTCGCTATTTTCTTCAATTTTAAGTGGGGAACATTGCCGCAACGTTTAATGCGCTTAGAACGCTGTCGCAATGTTCACTAACACATTCGCAACATTCCCATTTACTAACTTCTACAATTTTTGTTTGGGAACATTGCCGCAACGTCCAACGCACTCAGGGCGCTGCCGCAATGTTCGTTAACGCACTCGCAACATTCGCAACATTACCGTTCGCTATTTTCTTCAATTTTAAGTGGGGAAAATTGCCGCAACGTTTAATGCGCTCAGAACGCTGCCGCAATGTTCATTAATACATCTGCAACATTCCCATTTGCTAATTTTTACAATTGTGGTTTGGGAACATTGCCGCAACGTCCAACGCATTCGGAGCGCTGCCGCAATGTTCGTTAACGCATTCGCAACATTTGCAACATTAAATTCAAAGATTGTCGATTATATTTCATATATATAATGATTTTCACCTTTTAAGGTTATATTTAATTATAAATGCCCGTAGACATTTGAAATTATATTAGAGTAAATGCACATATATCTATTGGTGATATTTGCGATTTACATTTTTATTCTAAATAGTTATAATAATAATATGTGCTCACATAACATTCCAAGAACAAGGCCCGAGTCCGTTCCCATCGCATTATGCTGACGATTGAATTTTTATTATCAAAGTATTGTGTTAAAATTTACGAAAAGTAAATTTCAGCACAATTCAAAAAAAAAATTAAATTTTTAGGTACCACCGTGACAAACCACCGTGAATATTCCCGTTTTTGTCCCCAAAAACTAAAAGCGATGGAAACGAAATCGGGCTTAATATAAAAAATTAGTAAACAATTACATATGCAAAAAAAAACGAGAGAATAGAATCATTAAGTTTTCCTTTATAAAGAATTTATGCTGATTCTTTGTCTGGACGTTGGTGCCAGAGAATCGGATGTGGAGTATCAGGTTTCACTGATAAGGACCAAGGAGCTGCACGTGCAGTCTCCGCGGTCCAGACGCAGGTCCCCGCAGTCAGTTCGCTGGTTGTTCCTACGCGATTAACATCCCCATTATATTCAGTAAAGAATAATTCTCCCTTTTTTTTCAATAGTTAACACGCGCGAACCGGGAGTGGGTGAAGTGAAGAAGGAAAAAAAAATAGTAATAAAAATAAAATTATGTGTGAAATTGTGGGAAGTGGTGCATCCGACCATCGAAAACGATTGTTGGCCCTTCTTGAGAAGGTGAAGAACATGAAGCCGGCAACTGACCCGGAGGAAGTGGAACGTGCTCCGGATGAGGAAGAAAAGGGGCGCATAAGCAAAATTGCTGCGTGCATCCGGGTTTACAACCTTTTAGGGAAAATTGGAGGAGAAAGGGGGTAAGTCGATTATATATATGGGCAAATCCACAGAACCGGCCGATTTTTACTTATCAAGATGAAAATTTTCCAAATAGCAAGCACACCTTTTATTTATGGTTTACTTTCTTTAAAATATATTCAAGAACAATTATCTTCTTGCGTGATTCATTTTATTTTAATGCCGTTTGAGTTAAAAGCCAAAAACGAAAATATTATTTTTCTTCTGGAAATTATAATTAAAAATGGCATTTCTTTGTTTTTTTTTATATATTGTTTGAAATATGTGCAAAACAATTTGAATAATAAAATATGATAAAATACAAATAATTAATTTTTTAATTATCAAAAATAAATTATTTATATTTTATCATATTTTATTATATATTTTATTTATTAGCATTTAATTTTTTATTTCTGTAAATTAAATTGTTTACTTACTAATTTTGATATTAACTATTTTAACCAACAAACTGACATTATTGACATCGATTTTGATATAACTTTGAAAATAAAACAAATGAAAGGATAATTCATTTTTCACGATTAACTAGTTAAATTTCGATAAATTTTTTTTTATTTTTAATTTTTAGACGTTATAAATTGAAAATATAATTTGGCGTTTGCATACAAGAATTATAATAATGTCTTTATATAATCACACATGTTTTCAACTCATCATATTTTATCCTGTAGTTGTGCTACTGAAAAAAGGCTAAGTTGAAAATGGTTCACGCTTAAACATAGAGTGATAATTATTGGAATATTTTCTTTAATTCTGATTGCACTCTATTCTATGATACATACATTTGTTCGTCTGTTCACAAGCAATAAGCTCCAATTTGAAAAATTCAAATCGAATAATCGCCGCAAAAGATATTTACAAAAATGTATAGACATTTCATTATTATAAAATAATGAGTAACGCTACTTTCAACGACTATCATTTCTTTTTATTTAAGAGCACATATTTTTTATTACTTTCAAAACATTCTTCAATAAGTAAACTATAATTCACCACAGTTTGGAATTGTTCGGATCTATGCCGAACAAGTTATATCTATAAGAATTAAAATTTATACCTGGAGTAACACCGTAAATTTCATTTTTTAAGTTACTTAATTCGATTTTATTTTTTATAAAAGACTAGAAGGTTCACATTTATTCAATTTTCTTATTTCAATAGGTTCTCAGAGATATTACAAAATGGTTGAAGTATGAAAATAATTAATATAATACTTCTAAAATAGAAAAATATATGAGTAACATGAAATCGGCCGGTTCTGTGGATTTGCCCATATATACATTAATTAATAAAATATAATGATTCTATAGTAAAATTTAAAAAATTATTATTTTATAATAACATTCGAAAATTATAATTTAGCAATAAAATCTGTTAAAATTAAAATTTTCACAATACGATCCCGAAAATAATAACCTTATAATAAACTTTGAAAAATTATAATTTGATGTGATCCGAAAAATTATAAGTTTACAATAGAATTTTAAAGAAATTATATTTTATAATAAAATTCGAAAATTATAATTTAGCAATAAAATCTGTTGAAATTAAAATTTTTACAATAGGATTTTGAAAATAATAATTTTATAATAAGATTTTAAAAATTATAATTTGATGTAATCCGATAAATTATAAGTCTATTACAGATTTTTTTTAAAGAAATTACATTTCGAACGTTATAATTTTGCAACTAAACTTTAAAACTTTAGAATAGGATTCCTAAAAACAACAATCCCATAATAAAATTTGAAAATTATAACTTTATAATAGAATTGCAAGATTATAAGTTTATAATAAAATTTTAAAGAAATTATATTTCATAATAAAATTCGAAGATTATAATTTAGCAACAAAATCTGTTAAAGTTAAAATTTTTACAAAAGGATTTTGAAAATAATAATTTTATAATAAAATTTGAAAAATTATAATTTTGATGTAATCCGAAAAATTATAAGTCTATTACAGATTTTTTTTAAAGAAATTACATTTCGAACGTTATAATTTTGCAACTAAACTTTAAAACTTTAGAATAGGATTCCTAAAAACAACAATCCAATAATAAAATTTGAAAATTATAACTTTATAATAGAATTGCAAGATTATAAGTTTATAATAAAATTTTAAAGAAATTATATTTTGTAATAAAATTCAAAAATTATAATTTAGCAATAAAACCTGTTGAAATAAAAATTTTTACAATAGGATTTTGAAAATAATAATTTTATAATAGAACTTAAAAAAAAAATATAATTTAATGTAATCCGAAAAATTATAAGTCTATAATAGAATTTTAAAGAAATTATATTTCGAAAATTGTAATTTAGCAGTAAAATCTGTCGAAATTAAAAATTTTCACAAAAGGATACTGAAAATAATAATTTTATAATAGATTTTGAAAAATTATAATTTGATGTAATCCGAAAAATTAAAAATTTTTTTTTTTTTTTTTTTTTTACAATAGGATTTTGAAAATAATAATTTTATAATAGAATTTAAGAAAAATTATAATTTGATGTAATCCGTAAAATTATAAGTTTACAATAGAATTTTAAAGAAATTATATTTTGTAATAAAATTCAAAAATTATAATTTAGCAATAAAATCTGTTGAAATTAAAATTTTTACAATAGGATTTTGAAAATAATAATTTTATAATAGAATTTAAAAAAAAATTATAATTTAGTGTAATCCGAAAAATTATAAATCTATAATAGAATTTTAAAGAAATTATATTTCGAAAATTGTAATTTAGCAGTAAAATCTGTCGAAATTAAAAATTTTCACAATAGGATACTGAAAATAATAATTTTATAATAGAATTTGAAAAATTATAATTTGATGTAATCCGAAAAATTAAAATTTTTTTTACAATAGGGTTTTGAAAATAATAATTTTATAATAAGATTTTAAAAATTATAATTTGATGTAATCCGAAAAATTATAAGTCTATTACAGATTTTTTTTAAAGAAATTACATTTCGAACGTTATAATTTTGCAACTAAACTTTAAAACTTAAGAATAGGATTCCTAAAAACAACAATCCCATAATAAAATTTGAAAATTATAACTTTATAATAGAATTGCATGATTATAAGTTTATAATAAAAGTTTAAAGAAATTATATTTCATAATAAAATTCGAAGATTATAATTTAGCAACAAAATCTGTTAAAATTAAAATTTTTACAAAAGGATTTTGAAAATAATAATTTTATAATAAAATTTGAAAAATTATAATTTGATGTAATCCGAAAAATTATAAGTTTACAACAGAATTTTAAAGAAATTATATTTTGTAATAAAATTCAAAAATTATAATTTAGCAACAAAATCTGTTAAAATTAAAATTTTTTTACAAAAGGATTTTGAAAATAATAATTTTATAATAGAATTTAAAAGAAATTATAATTTGATGTAATCCGAAAAATTATAAGTCTATTACAGATTTTTTTAAAGATATTACATTTCGAACGTTATAATTTTGCAACTAAACTTTAAAACTTTAGAATAGGATTCCTAAAAACAACAATCCCATAATAAAATTTGAAAATTATAACTTTATAATAGAATTGCAAGATTATAAGTTTATAATAAAATTTTAAACAAATTATATTTCATAATAAAATTCGAAGATAATAATTTAGCAACAAAATCTGTTGAAATTAAAATTTTTACAATAGGATTTTGAAAATAATAATTTTATAATAAGATTTTAAAAATTATAATTTGATGTAATCCGAAAAATTATAAGTCTATTACAGATTTTTTTTAAAGAAATTACATTTCGAACGTTATAATTTTGCAACTAAACTTTAAAACTTTAGAATAGGATTCCTAAAAACAACAATCCCATAATAAAATTTGAAAATTATAACTTTATAATAGAATTGCAAGATTATAAGTTTATAATAAAATTTTAAAGAAATTATATTTCATAATAAAATTCGAAGATTATAATTTAGCAACAAAATCTGTTAAAATGAAAATTTTTACAAAAGGATTTTGAAAATAATAATTTTATAATAAAATTTGAAAAATTATAATTTGATGTAATCCGAAAAATTATAAGTTTACAACAGAATTTTAAAGAAATTATATTTTGTAATAAAATTCAAAAATTATAATTTAGCAATAAAATCTGTTGAAATTAAAATTTTTACAATAGGATTTTGAAAATAATAATTTTATAATAAGATTTTAAAAATTGTAATTTGATGTAATCCGAAAAATTATAAGTCTATTACAGATTTTTTTTAAAGAAATTACATTTCGAACGTTATAATTTTGCAACTAAACTTTAAAACTTTAGAATAGGATTCCTAAAACAACAATCCCATAATAAAATTTGAAAATTATAACTTTATAATAGAATTGCAAGATTATAAGTTTATAATAAAATTTTAAACAAATTATATTTCATAATAAAATTCGAAGATTATAATTTAGCAACAAAATCTGTTAAAATTAAAATTTTTTACAAAAGGATTTTGAAAATAATAATTTTATAATAGAATTTAAAAAAAATTATAATTTTGATGTAATCCGAAAAATTATAAGTCTATTACAGATTTTTTTTAAAGAAATTACATTTCGAACGTTATAATTTTGCAACTAAACTTTAAAACTTTAGAATAGGATTCCTAAAAACAACAATCCCATAATAAAATTTGAAAATTATAACTTTATAATAGAATTGCAAGATTATAAGTTTATAATAAAATTTTAAAGAAATTATATTTTGTAATAAAATTCAAAAATTATAATTTAGCATAAAAATCTGTTGAAATTAAAATTTTTACAATAGGATTTTGAAAATAATAATTTTATAATAGAATTTAAAAAAAAATTATAATTTAGTGTAATCCGAAAAATTATAAATCTATAATAGAATTTTAAAGAAATTATATTTCGAAAATTGTAATTTAGCAATAAAATCTGTCGAAATTAAAAATTTTCACAATAGGATACTGAAAATAATAATTTTATAATAGAATTTGAAAAATTATAATTTGATGTAATCCGAAAAATTAAAATTTTTTTTACAATAGGGTTTTGAAAATAATAATTTTATAATAAGATTTTAAAAATTATAATTTGATGTAATCCGAAAAATTATAAGTCTATTACAGATTTTTTTTAAAGAAATTACATTTCTAACGTTATAATTTTGCAACTAAACTTTAAAACTTTAGAATAGGATTCCTAAAAACAACAATCCCATAATAAAATTTGAAAATTATAACTTTATAATAGAATTGCAAGATTATAAGTTTATAATAAAATTTTAAAGAAATTATATTTCATAATAAAATTCGAAGATTATAATTTAGCAACAAAATCTGTTAAAATTAAAATTTTTACAAAAGGATTTTGAAAATAATAATTTTATAATAAAATTTGAAAAATTATAATTTGATGTAATCCGAAAAATTATAAGTTTACTACAGAATTTTAAAGAAATTATATTTTGTAATAAAATTCAAAAATTATAATTTAGCAATAAAATCTGTTGAAATTAAAATTTTTACAATAGGATTTTGAAAATAATAATTTTATAATAAGATTTTAAAAATTATAATTTGATGTAATCCGAAAAATTATAAGTCTATTACAGATTTTTTTTAAAGAAATTACATTTCGAACGTTATAATTTTGCAATTAAACTTTAAAACTTTAGAATAGGATTCCTAAAAACAACAATCCCATAATAAAATTTGAAAATTATAACTTTATAATAGATTTGCAAGATTATAAGTTTATAATAAAATTTTAAAGAAATTATATTTTGTAATAAAATTCAAAAATTATAATTTAGCAATAAAATCGGAAGAATTATAAGTTTTTTTTTTTTTTTTTGGAAATCTTAAGAAAATTACGATTATCCTCTAATGGTTGTAAAAATGATGTCCCAAAAATGTACATTCTTTAATGAAAGGTTTCTGGTGGAGTTTGGCGACTGGGGGCGGGCGCCTGTTCGTCAGGATGACCAGGCGCTTTGGCGGCTGGACCCGGCCATGCGGGGCAGTGGCCCCAAGAAGCAATACTCTCGCAGCCAATGGCACCAAGAGTACCGTTGGTGCGAGAGTACCCGGGGATACGTCTGTCGTGGTTTCTGGGCTACTGTGAGTAGACTTTCACTTCACACCATCAGCTCGCCTCTAAATTTTTATTTTATATGTTTCTCTTTTCTCTCTTTTTTTTTTTTAGTCTAGATTTGCTGATCCATCATTGATAAAAGAGGCGATGGGGGACTTCCCCGTTCTTCAGGGCTGGTGGGTTGCTGACAGGAGTCACACTATATGGTGAGTTTTTTTTTTTTTTTTTTTTTTAAATTTTTTTTTTTTTTTTTTTTTTTTAGGCAACTTTCTTTAAATAAATGAAAATTAATTATAAAAGCTTTCCTTTTTTAATTTTATTCCCTTTTTCTCTTTTTTTTTTTTTTCTTTTTTTTTTTTTTATCAATTTCAGAGCCACCAGCGACACTGGTTCCCTTCTGTATAATAAAAACAATTTAGTTTAGGATTGATTAAAATCAATTTTAACTGTTCATGCTATAACTTTCAATTTCTTCTTTTTGTAAGCATAGCTTTTGTTAGGAACTTAAGGGGGGGGAACCTTCAACGTTTAGAAGCTTCGATACAAGGTAGGTGAAATTATTCTATTCTCTCTATTCTTCGAAAATTAATGACGACAACAATTATAATAATATCGGGTGGAGTTCACCCGTCAACACTATTATTTACCTTTACAAAGCTTTCCACGATCGGCCTCTCCATCAACCAGGCACTGACCCAAAACTCCCACAACTCATTGGACAGGTGATGATGTCTCATTAGAGCACATCTGCACCCAGTCCTTTGACAACGTGGTAGGAAAGGATGTCTGGCAAATTATTGAGGGCGGCCCAAGTGGCAGTTCGGCGGTCAGACCACGTAAGCCTCCCTCCCTGAGAGTTCTCTGTTTATTTACATGAGAATGTGCTAGGACCTGTCCTGACGGTGCTGAAATTGATTAGAGAAATCGATCGTGGGCCTTCATGTAAAAAAAAGGCAAGATAAAACTCAACAACAAAAATCGAAACAGGAAAAAAAAATTTGATTAGATATATATACACATACATATACATGCATACACATAGATATATATATAGGTAAAATTTGTGCATAGCATACTATATTATTCTTCAACTAAACTGGTTGAAGTTTTTGTATGGGCAATACAATTACCCTTTTTAAGCAGTTCTTCATTGGTAAACTGACACTAATGGCGGGTGGTGATGATGTTGTCGATGATGTTTTTGATGATGTTGTTGATGATATTTTCGAAATTTCGAAACTCTTAAAGTTTAGGTGTCAGGATCGGGCTGTTGATGTAGTGTTTTCGATCGTTTCGTGAGTCGATAGTTGATGGCGTGACACAAGTTCGTCAGCTGTTGAGGTCGTCTCCGGGAATTCTATTCCTTGTTCCAGATTCACTAATGTTGATGGGATTTCCTTAGATCTCCGAACACTTGAATATGCATCTTGATTCCTTAAATTGTAACCTTCTTTCGGAAGGGGGTTGGTCTCATCCCTTTTTAGTTTACTAGTGATAATATTGATCTTTCTGGCGACCGAGTTTCTACACAGGAGAAGAAGGATGAAGATGCTGAGAAGAATCAATCCTCCATATGATCCATAAACAAGAATGGACTGATGGTTCTTCCATTTACGCTGCATCGCAAAATCCTCTAACTTTTGCTCCAATTCTTCTAGAGTTTTGGAGTTGGTCTCGAAACTGGAAATCCTTGATTTTGTTCGGCTGCTCTCTTCAAATTCCATCGTAGTCGTTAAATGGGAATAGGTAGAAAATATACTTGAAATCCGTTTTAGATCCAGGTGTAACTCGGGTTCATATAGAATCTCCGTTTGGCCTACCTGAGTCGCTGTTGCTGGGATGGTTATATCTTTTGTTTTTGCTGAACATCCTGGGGCTAGCCTTATTATCCCAGTACCTGTGATATTTATTTTGATCGGATAAGCAGAGTGGCAGATTATCAGTAACACTTCCGGCTTGGCCACGGAATAGAGCCAAGCTGCTAAGGTCCGCAAAGGTTTCCAAAAAGATTCCAAACTTGAGGTAATTCTGATATCACAGGATCTTAGTACTTCGTCCGTGGGATTGGTCATCAGCGATACCTCACAGATTGGTCTGTTCTGAAGGTCATAAATGGGTGATCCTTTCAGACATGCATGAAACGATGTCGTTGTTCTACAATTTTCCCAATCTTCATTTTTGAGTAAGAGATAGGTTCTTTGCTCTTTGTCAACGATTAAGTAGTCGTATGCAGGATTCACGTATGCCCTGACGGATCCATTTTCAAGTTCACCTTGAAGGGTCGGCAGTGGATGTAGTTTGAATGCTGCATATTTATCTTGTTCCAGGAGAGGAATGTCTATCAAAATTTTGATTTTGTGGTCCTCGCATAGAATACTGGTTGTGGCTACTTGAATTAATTCATCAACGCTGACCTTGGGTCCAGGTATGGGGAAGATAACATCAGTGGCGTTATTTCTAATGTCGTTGAGGATAGGTCCCAATTGTTCTGAAGATAAAATTCCAGGATGAAGATGTCCTCTTCTAGCATCGTGAACTGCGTCTAGCATTGTTGCCGTCGTTCGGATGTTGTGATCAAGTCCCAATTTTATGGCAGCCAGTGTTTTGTCCAGGAGTTTGGAGTATTCTTGGAATTCAGAATGTTTAAATTGTCCATTTAGTTCTTTGTTCAGGGTGTCGAAAGATTGGTGTAGTTCCTGCAAGACTTCGTCGTGATGTTGCACCTGACTATGCAGACTTTCTAATTGAGTAGCTGCCTGCAATAACTCGCCGAGCGCTTGGCCGATCGCTCTAACGCCAGTCAAACGTTCAAAAACGTGAAAAAAATGAAAAATCAAAATTTTGATTTTTGAAAAGTGCAATCTTGTAGGAAATAAGATGGCGCATCTTTTTTTCCTTTGAGATTTTTTGTAGATCAAAAAATAGAGTTAATATATGCAAAACACTTAAAATTTTTATTTCACAAATTTCATTCAATTTTTAAACATAAATCACAGTATCTTTGACAAATTTCAATGAATCTTATTGAACATAATTAAAAATATTAAAATCATCAATTGTTTATTTATAATTAATTGTAAATGAAGACTTGTCAATAATAATGTTTACTTACCTTTGTCGACATAAAGTGAGTGGGGAACTTCAGAGTTGAAGAAACTTCCAGTGAGACATTTGTTTATCATAATGTAAGGAAGTTTTTTGTAAAATATAAAAACAATTTATCAACAACTTTAGAAAATATAGAACGTTTAAGAAAACATGCGCGACGCGCTAGCGAGTCTCCGCGCGGAGAATTGCACACAAGAGTTAAAAAGGACGTTATGTTATGTTGTGATATATTATGTTTTGAAAATGGAGCCAACATACTATCTGTTTACTTTTATTCGAAAAAAATAAAAATGCAAGATTTCTGAATTTAGTAAGTCTCCAGTCTTATGACAGTTAGGTAGCACGTTAATTCGATGAATATTATTTATTTAAAAAATGTGTTTTGAAGTTCCTACAAATTGTGGCAGATATAAAACAAGAAATGAGATTAGCTGGAAGCGTAATGAATCAAAATTAGCAAAAAATCAGGTACATATATTGTTTTTTTTATTATTTTATCGTTTATATTTTAAATTAGTGTTTTCATCTTAGTTTTTTTATTTTATTGTATTTATTTTAGTTGCTTTATTATTTTTTATAATTTTATTATTTATTATTAATTATTTTATTTGTTTTCTTTATTTTAGTCTTATGGATAATTATATTTAAATTGTTTGAAGAATTTTTAATATAGTATTTATAAAATAACATTAATATTTCAGGGTAGGGAATACATTTCACAATCAAAAAAAGTAATTCCCGCTAAAACATTTAAAATTCTTGAGAAATGCTGTATTAATATTTGCTTTAAAAACATCGATGCAGATATTCAGGAACAATTTTTTAACTCTTTTTGGAAAAATGCCGGAGATTACAAAACACAAAATTATATGTTAAGCAGTCTAATGAGGAAAAAAGTACTATGTGAAAATTCTGAGTACAAAGGTATCGTCACATCATGGGAGTACTACTTTAACTTTTCGTCTACTCGTTTAAAAATTTGCCAAAAGTTACTGTGTAATTTGTTGGATATAAAGAAAGGTCGATTTGCATCTATTCAAAAAAAGTTAATAAACAATGATTCCTTAAAAGATAATCGTGGAAAACATGGTAATCAGAATGTACTTTTAACCGATGAATTAAAGAAAATGATTTATGATCATTGTTTATTAATCCCTCATTCTAATTCTCATTACTCTCTTGAAAAAACAAGTTTATTATATTTTGAAAATTCTGATCTTGATGTAAAAAAGCTATATAAACTTTTTCTGGAGTACTATACTACTAAAACAGGCGATTCAAATCCTCCAATCACAGGGTCAACTTATCAGAAATATTTTAATAAGAACTTAAACTTTAGCTTCAAAAAGCCACGAACCGACGTATGCAATCTTTGCTTTGAAAACAGAAATAATGTTAAAGTTAATGCCGAATTTCAAACTCATAAAGAAAACGTGGATGATTATAAAAATTTAAAAAAAGCTATGCTTGCTGATAAAAATGCTTTGTGTTTAGAGTTTGATTTTGGGCAAAACTTGCCATTGCCGAAAATCCCTGTTTCAGAGCAATTTTATAAGCGCTTATTTTGGTTACATGTTTTCAATGTCCATGTTTTTGGGGAGCACAAAAGAAGTTATATGTTCTTTTTTATGGAAGGCAATTTAAAAAAAGGCGCTAATACAGTGTGTAACTTCCTCTACGAAGCAATAATGCGAGAACTTGAGTTAGATTGTTCTAATAAAATTAATTTGTTTTCTGACAGTTGTGGAGGACAAAATAAAAATTACTTGGTAATGTCTTTTTTGTCAATGCTTTCCAGAAAATTAGATATCGACATACATCACGTATATCCGGTCTGTGGGCATTCTTACAGCTCGTGTGATCGTAATTTCGGCGTTTACGGTCAAAAGAAAAAAAAAGTTGAAGTAATAGAAACGGACAAAGAGTACATTGAAATTGTAAAGAATTCAAAAACTCCACCTTTCACAATAATTAAAGAAGGTGATGTGAATGTTCGAGATTTTGAATCTGTATTAAA